AAAGTGTACTTAAGTACAGTAACAAAGTATTTGTACTTCGGTACCTCTGACTATGGGTATGCTGGTCTGACAACACACCGGTCTGAATGTTTGATAGGCTGATCTAGCATATGTTAGCCAAAAGCTTTGATGCACCTACAGGTAGTACCGTTTAATTTTAATGTGGATTTGTTAAGATAAAGGTTAAAAAAAGTCAATGTGACTTGGAGGGATTTCCATCTGTACCAGGTGATAAAAAGATTAAAAAGGAAGTAGAGTTGGCAAACAAGAGCAGATCAGCAGTGAATGCAGGTTTTAATGAATGTGCAGCAATCGGGCAAGTCTGTTTTCCTCTATCATGCTAGCTGGTATTAGCGATAGCTAATAGCATCCAAAGGCGTCCACAGAGAGATTCTAATGTTGCATTCAAAATGCCGACAGTGGAGAAAACAGCTGATCAGTCATGAGATGTGCTTTTACTCTTGAATGAGAGTCAAAAACCACCTGAAGTGAGCTTTAAATGTTTCTTTCAGTAATTTGATTGAAATGTAGCTGTTTCCATCCAGCTCTTCAGGTGCTTACTCTCAAAAATGTTGATGCTCAACTTTAATTTCCTTTGGGTTACAGCAGATAACTGCTGTAAGTTTATATGTAAAGAAATAAAAGTTTGCTTTGGGAGTCCAGAACTCCAGACTAGGGCTGCAACTATTAATTATTTTGCAAATTGATTAATCTATTGACAATTTTTTAGATTAATTCATTAATAATCGGATAGAAAAAGGTTCCTTAAAGAAGAATTTTTACGAAATTAAACAAGGGGAAACTAAAAAGTTTCCACTTGTTTCTGGGTTGAGCATATTGACAGACGAAATATTATTTTTTTTATCTTAAAAGGCTAAATGTTTATATACTTTATTATATTACTCCTTTAAGTGGGTTGCTCTGTCTGTTTCTATACTCCGTTTAACGATTAACAGATTATTAAATTAGCTTATGATTATTTCAATAATCGATTAATCGCGATCAATTGTTTCAGCCCTAATCCAGACTTTTTCTTATTTTACATAAAGAACCTTTAGTTTTAGGTGTTGATCTGAAAGTTTGTAGATTTTTTCAGACAATATGAGCATTTCCTTTTGAGTAGAAGCTCCTCTGTGAAAGTGTTAAAAGAGTTGCACTCTGACCGATAGAAACGAGAAGAGACTTTTCTCGCTCAGCAGCAGAAGTGTCACTTTTTTTTTTCCCT